CAACCGAATGGCACACTCTGCACATTTGAGTGGGCTGCACACAGCCAGCCCAGCTGGAAATTACAACTCCACTCCCTCAAAGATTCCTTCTCAGCGATATCTGCATCACGAGCTACAATAATGTACACAGGTACAACCCAAAGCATGGCACAGTGCAAAGAGGTGGCACCAGACTTGTGTCTGGAGCAGATTAGCTGAGAAGACAGAGCAGCCTCAGGCTACGGCACGGAATGCTGCGCAGAGGTGTCTGCTCACGGGGTGAGCTACCTCTGCCTCGTTTCTGGTTCCAGTCATGGCAGCATGGGGGAATACCCATTCCTGGCAAATTTAATTCCTTTCAGCAGTTTGTGACTAGCAAAGCGCTTCCATGGCCCTGCTATTTCAGCTCTGGAGTAGTTTGGCACACAGGACTGTGCTGTTCATGCAGACACACACACGCCCCTACAGCCCATACACCTCATTTCCTTCAAGCACGTCTGCTCATGCTTCATGAAGCCACACAGTGGATGGCAAAAACGCTGCAAGAGGACAAAGGTGCTGCCCCCACGAGCTTCGTGCCCAGCTCAACGCTGACTCACTCTAATCATTCTGTCGGATCGATGGCGACGGCGGATGCGGTTCAAGCCCTCCACAAAGCGAATGAAGCCATCCAGGAGCTGCCACTCCTCCTCGTCGGAGCGCGGCCGGTCTCCGTACACATCACAGTGCACTTCCCCTTCCATGATGCGTTTGGTGGCACTGATGCAGGCAGGCAGCAGCAGGAAGCGGGTCCTCCAAAATTTCAGGGACTCAATAAGGCTGGCAAAAGGAACATGGAAGACAGACGGGACAGAGTTGTCTACAAAGGATTTTGCAGTCAGTAAAATGTTTATCTAGAGGCTGTGAATCTCAGCAATTACAGTAAAATCTCATTTCATCACCCCTGTGTGAGAAAGAGCAGAGCACGGAATGGAGCGGCCAGCCAGAGCAGCAGCCCTGGGAACTATTCCAGCACACTGATACGCGGAAGAGAACAGAAGCCCATCTTCAGAACAGTTACATCATATGGATATACTTCCTTTTCTGCAACATGTTACAGAAACATATCTGTAAGTGCTCTTCCAGAAATAAGCAAAGAAAAAGGAATTTCAGAGGTACATGTTAGAGCCACAGAAACAGGCTGAGACCCGAACAGAAACAAAGATACAGAAAGACTGGTTTTGTTTTAAGATATCAAAAAGGCTACTGATACTATTCAGACACACTCCACACAGCCCAGTACCTAGTCTGCAGTACCTAGTTTAGGAGCATGACTAGAATCAAGCTAAGCCTAGGACTCAAACCAGCCTCCAACAGTTTCAGAACTAAATGGAAGTCCTCAGTCAGATACAGAAATGAATAAGAAGCCAAGAAAAGCATCTGAGGGATACAAAATATCTATTTATTTGCATTTGTAGGAAAGGAAAAAAACAGAATTTTGTGATCACTGAATTCTGTGATCAAGACTTCGTATCAAAGATCAGATAATACAACAGCAATGGCAATACACTCGCACAAGGATAACAAAGCCGCTGGTAGCACACAAATGAAATCAGGCCAGCCACTCTCCCTGGAGTACTGAGCTTTCGTAGGCTGAACTTGCTGAAGAAATTTTAGGTCAAAAAGAAAAAAGGAAATTAGGACACAGAACAGTCTGGATGGAAGAGAAAGTCTCACCTGAAATCCTCAGAGCCAGCAGAGCAGATATACTGATCCAAGTAGTTCCACTTGTACTCCTCCAGTCGCTCATGGGAAAATTCTACCCAGCAAGAAACAAACTCAGAGTCAGAGTGCGAGGGACATAAGCTGTATGTGTAGTTTATCTGAGCAGATTCATAGGGATACCTAAAAGAGACAAAGCAAACTTTAATTTCAGTATCAGACAGCAGCACTTCTCTCTCTTCTCCTCAAGAGAGGAGGCTCTATAGTACATTCTTCCAAGCAAGTACAGATACCTGAAAAAACATTTTCATCTGAAAAATTAATAGCAAACCACTGAACTAAATGGATACTCACTTCGGCAGGTACCGAGTCACAGTAATTATTTTGTCTTTTAATGTTACTTTGTGGAAAGTACGGCCCATACTCAGCCAGTACTGATCTTCTTCCTCTGGCCGATTTCTTGATACAAGACCTAATTGTAAAAAGCAAAACGCACACCTGTTTTAAGCTTACAGCAATAGCCAGAACATTATCAACAATCCACATCCATAGGAAGAGACGCCAGGATCAGGTTTCTGAACTTAGACATAAACCAAGACCCATCTTTCAGGCTACCTTTTCCAAGAGGTGTTTGCATGATGCCTTAATGTTCTGACAGTTAACATTTGCTAGTGGCACAACTAAAGATGAAGGGCATTTGCAGTTCACAGACTACCAGTGGAGACTTTCCATGAGAAAGACAAGTTGAGAGCACACAATATGAAGTACAGAGAAACTGGCAGATGTGATAGAAAACCTAGGCTCCGTTTTCCCTTCCTCTCAGTGCTTCATCACTGGAATTAGCCACTTCAAAACTTCACCAAAGGCTGCTCATTTCTACAGCACAGAAAAACTACCATATCCTGCTTTTGCGTATTCCCTTCTCTATAAACTCCAACCTGTCTATGGAATATTCAAAAATGTCTGAAGCAACTAACAACCAGATTCCCTCAAGGGAATGAGGCCTTCCACCTCGCAGGCCTCTGCAGTCTAACCAGGTGCAGCTGAATCATGGTTTTAGAACAGTGAAGCTTTGTCTGCTCACCTGAGACTTGCAGCTATTTTAGAGTTAGGAAACTACTTCCACGCTAACTTTCAGATAAACACATTTTTAGGGTTTGGTATGTTTTCCTAGAGATGTACCTGCCCTGCAGACACCATGTGAATTGCGTTTAAGATGTGTTCACTCAAACAGTACTGACACCATATCTCATTTGGGGTCACTCCTATGAAAATTAGAGGGTTTTTTGGTTTGTTAGTTTTTTTTTGTTTTAAATCTAAGTTGTCTGTGCTGCCTCACAACTAGCTTTCTACCTCTTTCTCATTTAACAAAATAAGAAAAAAAACAAACAGCTAAAACGACTATCTAGCATCTGACTCGTGGAGGTTGCTGGCACTACTGGAAAGGATTGAATAACAAAAGTCTGAATTGTTAGTGTAAAGTCACTCACCTCTGCTGTAAAGGGGACTGCTGCTGAGAGGGGGTGGCACCGTCGGGGCTGGTTTCTGTGGCTTGGGTTGCACAATAATTTGATAGCCTTGCATGAGACGCTGACAAATAAACTCCTCAAACACCTGCTGGGCTGTCATCTGCACCCCTTCCTCATCTCTCCTGAGCACAAAGGTTAAGAAGGAGACCAGAATAAGGAAGCTGACCATGCAGCTATTCTCAGCTCTGCCTTTCCTGACTGAGGATTTCTTCTTGCATTGGGATCTGTGTGAGTGGAGCCCTCTGCCTGAGAAAACCAACCTGCAGGAACTGTAAAGAAGAGTGGGTGCCTTTCTGTTCTGTTTCTGTTCTGTAGCTCTCTGGCAATATTTATTAACGTCTTTGAAAGCGGTTTTGAATCAAGTTGCAGACACCAAGTCCACAAAAAGAATTTTGCTCACAATAGTCATTAAATTTCAGAGTAGTTTAGCAATGATCACTTCTATAGTACTTCTCAGAGAATCTCAGTGCAGTTTGTAAGCGTTCAGCAGTACCCAGAACTGCAAGTGTGGGGGCTTCAATCTATCCCCAAGAGACAAGTCTGGAGCAGAGACCAAAAGACAGTTCAAGCACCAACCAGCAACTGAGATAAGGAGAGACTCCACATTATAGTAGATGCCATTACATCTGCTTCTGCTCTCCTGAACTTTGCCCTCCTGCTGTAAAGGGTCATGAGATTTCTTTAATTCTGCTATTTACTAGCAGAATTCAATGTTTCAATTACCTTAACTAGTAGGTAGCTTTTGTTTTTCACCCCCACAAAGCAGCAATATGCTGAGGCTTGTCTGATGCTGTATAAATTGTGCAAAGTTTGAAAGATGTTTAAAAGGTTGACACAGCTTCAGAAAGTCAAAGCAATTAAAGAGGAGACTTGCAAGAGAAGCTCAGAGACTATTTATCCCATTAACACTGTTTTCCTCCAAAATGTTTTCAACTAAATATCTCTAGAAGCACTAAACTAAATATATCTAGAAGATAAGCATATTTTATATTGTGTATGTGCAAACATTTATTCATTTAGTGGTTCTAAAATACTTGCTGGAAAACAGATTAACCAAGGTGATTAACAGAAAGCAGGGAGAACTAAAATTATATCCTGAAATCACTTCTAACATAAAATCTGCTAAAATAATAATACATCAGAAAAGGTGCAAAGTTACCACTGAGAAGGGAAAATTAAGTATTCCACTGCCAACTATGCTGGCAATTCATCCTTCTCTTGTGCAGACTCCAGAGCACTCCTCTTCCACCAACTGCACCTTAAGTATTTTGATCCAGTTCAAGATACACTAGAGAAGGTGCTGGCAAACCTGTCAATGTCAGCTTCTGGCAGGAGATCATAGCAGCCCTCAGTGTAATCGTTCTGCAGACTTTGACGATCAGGAAAATAGTCCGTGGTAAGAGGGAGACACGCCGGAGTAGTAAGAGATTTCCAGTCCACTCCAACTGTACAACAGAAGCCTGGCACTACGGGGGGAGCAGACAGCGTCAGAACTGCCTCGTATAGTTGGCGGGGGAGACAGTGGGGGCATATATGGTCACCCATAAAAATCAGGGTGAAAGAGATGAGAGAAACATGTGAAGAGGAAAGGTGGAAAGAATGAGGGACAAGTGCAGAGTTGGCACAAAGTCAGAGACAGAAAGAGGGTGGAATGGAAATAGAAAAGGAAAGTAAGAGGGGAAGAGGGAGGGAGAGAAAGAGACAGAGTTTGTTAAACAATGCAGTGCACATGCTAATTTAATCCCACCATGCAAATGGGATTCAAAGTTAATATGTTTAATTTTCAGTTGATTGAAAGCTAGAGCTGACGTAGCCACCACTCTGCCAAAATTATAGCAAGTCAGGTGCAATTACAGATTATAAAAACCAAAACCAGATCAATACTCCAAGTCTGAGCAAGAAAATCAGACCAGCTTTGCATCTTAGATAACTGCAGAAGGAGCTGGGGATGGGGAAAGAGAATGACAGACTGGCTTGTTTCTGGCATAGTACAACAGCAGAAAAGGGAGTATTTCTAGAGTTATAAAAACAGAAGACAGACCCAGAGGGGTGGGAAGATGAGAAAAATAGTAATTTGGAAAGCATTCCTTTTCTACACCATTTCCCAAAGTTATGTTGCAATTTCAGGATTCTGGAGAAGGGACAGACATTAAAAATGAAAGCCAAACAAATTATATCAAATCATGACTTCACTACTGTGTTACATTCTGACCTGCCTCAACCAATCTATCTTGAGGCACTCAGCCAACTGCTAATTCTCAACATACTGTCACAGAGGTCTTAAAGATAAAAAAATATATATATTTTGTAATGAAAACGTCAACATTAACAGGCCAAACACTGCAACAAAATTATACAGGACAGACTGCTACAAAGAAAATGTTTTCTTAAGCAGCCACACGCTTGTTTCTGTGTTAGCTGAAGGCACATATTTCTCAGTAAATGGTACCAAATACAGAAACTGACCGTACTAATTCTGCTTCAACTAGCTGGTGCCAAGCAAACTTTTCATACTGAGAAGCAGATAAGAGTTCAGCAAGTTTTTGCATGATAGTGTCTGTTAAGGAAAGAAGTGTGGCAGTAACATGACAGCCTGTTTCAGATATTCTAAGAGCTACAGAGCCGCAATCTCCACGAGATGCGCAATGCACGCAGATCCTGCCAGTTACTGCAGAACAAAACGCCTGCCAAAAACCAGCGTTTCCTCCCAGTTTCTTGCCTACCACCTCCTGATGCTTCTAGATATAAACACACCCTTTCCTATTTCCCCCCTCTGCAAACCTGCTGTACAAACCCTCCTTCTGCTTACTTGGATCTGGAGAGTTAGAAATAGCATCTTCCAGTGAATCCTTGTTCTGAGTTTTGAGGTTCATGCCTACATGAAAAAAAAAAAAAGTACATGCTTCAGCTTCATATTTTAAGTAATTGTGTGCACTTCACTTTTGTCTTTCATTCCAAATAAAGGCAAATCAAAGTATACAAATGTTTTAAGAATATGACAACATTTCTCTGAGAAGAAATCATGGTTCTGCACAGCAGAAAAACACAGAAAGCCAATTAATGGGTAAGCAAGAACTCTTCAGTGAAATTCAAACATCTCATTAGCAATGCTCAGGAGTTTGATTTTCTTTGTTCTTTAAATAAATAAATAAATAAATAAATAAATATCTCCCCCAAATGGTGATGAACATCTTTAAAATATATACCATTAAAAAAGCAAATAATAAAAAGAAGCCACTTGTAAGTATTCAGTATGCTAATCCCAAGGTCTCCGGAGCTGATTATACTTGTAAATCCACTCAGCACTCAAAAGCAGAATGTTTTTGATCAGATTCTTGTTCTAGGAAAAAGTGATGAATTAGGAGGAAGAATGTCATAGAACACAGGATCAGCGAGAAAAGAAATTACAACAGACATTCACCTGCTGAGAGGGGGGGAAAAAAAGCATATATGAGCTTTAATAAAAGCACCAAGTAATTTATCAAAATCATGAAACAAATTCACCACAACCCCAACATGTCCTGATTTTCAGCAAATTCAGTCATTTGTGCTAAGCTAAAGACTAATAGTAGACTTGAACTAATGAAAAATTACATTTAAGTCTTGATTAGGACTTAGAGACTATCATTTTTTTACATCGCCCTAAGGATTGGATTTAGGCAGCCTGTTAAACAACCTGGAGAACAGAAGCTGAACCGAGGGCTCTGGGAGCACGCTGAGCCTACATGATGCCTTCCTATCCCTTGCCCATTCCTTCCCAGGCCCCATTCCGCATCTTTCTGCTCTGCTTGCAGGCACTTTTTTTTTTTTTTTTTTTTTTTTTTTTTTTTTTATAGCTACAGTGAAACAATTCCTCCTGAAAAAAAAAATCCCCAGTAATGTTTCAGTTGCATCAGGCCCCCGGGCTAGTTCTGCATGTGTACATAGCTGCACAAGCAGCTCTTCTGGCCTAAGAAAGAAAAGGAACAGCTGAGGAGACAAGGCAGTTCACTGGCTAAAAAAAGCATACACCAAAATGCAAACTTCACGAGGTCTCCAAACATTTAAAGAAGCCATTTTTATAAAGCTGGCTTATGTGGATTTATCCGGGAAATAAATATCTGCATCATAGCTACTATTCTAAATAGCGTATACTAACAGATGATGCCAGCACAGCAGAAAAGGAGATGCGTCTCATTGGCACTCATCTTTCACCATCTACTCTGATGCCATCTGCCATCTAGTTAGGGAAGTGCAGCAAGATTTATTTGCTCTGAATTGCCACCTACCATCTGCTGGGCGAGAAAGACAGCATGCTGAATGTCACTGTGAAGAGGGGGGGTAATATTTCTCCACGTAGCACGTGGTGCAGCAAACATGCTGTCAGAGAGGAACCAATCAAACTCCCTGTGAAACCATATTTTTGGAAATTAGAAATAAAAGAACTGTTTCATCTCACAGGTGACTCAAATCATAAGGGAGAAATACGAGTCAAACCACTGAGTCACAGTGTGGCAGCTACAGATGGTCGAGGGAGGTTAGTCAGGGAAGGTGGCTCACAATGACTTCCACAAAGACAGGCAGACACTGATTAACTTCCACCATATACATGATTTATAGGCAATCTGCAGATGTGAAGGACCTCTATAAAATTCAAGTACGTTGATTACTGAGATATTCTTTGCATCTAGGTTGCGCAAATTATACCCAGTAGCTAAAACAACTGCCAGAACAAACAAACTCTATCTGGAAGGCAAAAAAAGTAAAGTGAAAGCATGAAACACATGCAAATGAAACACAAAAGGGGATAATAGAACAGAAATTGCCTTTAAAGAGATTATTTAAGCATAAGACAAGCAATATGTAAGAAAATCATGTCTGCTAACAAAACTTCCTTCTGGTTTTATTAGACATGAGCACAGGAGAAAAAACAGTTCTTTTCATCCAGCTATAATTTAGAGATGGAAATTCAAAAAAAAAAAAATCTTTAAATCAGTTTTGAGAAAAAGAAGAATCATGGCTGATCATTTCTTTTTTATAGCCACTGGAACACCCACTCTCCATGATTTTTGGTTGTGTTATTTGCCATTGCTGCTACAGGCCTTGTCTCCTGACTTGCCTGCTCTCCCACTGCTTTGTTACCTGCACCGCTGCCGCCAGCCAGACCGTTGGGATACTCCTCTGCTCCACCGAAGCTCAGGAAGGAGGCACCGTCACCCGGATGACGAGAGCTGATGTGTCTAGAGAAAGAAAACAGCTGTATTTCTACAGAAACAGTTTCCTCACCCAAGCCAATTTTAACAAGACAAATAAGCAAGCAGTTTGCCATCTCAGGTGAACCCCCCTCCGAATGCTGTTTACAGAGATTCAAGCAGGAGCAAACACAGTGCAGAAAAGGAGCATCTGTCCATACAATTTCGGTCTCTGCCTCTAGCAATGACCGACGCAAGATTTTTACAAGATGGTGGGGAACAAGCCACTCATATACCCCACAGGAGACAAATAAGGCTTATTTATTCACAGATCTGAACTCATTGTGTGGAAAACAACATTTCAGAGCGAGCAAATCGCTTTGGATGACTGTGTCATCCAGAAGGACCATCAAGAATACGACAAAAAAAAGGATTGGGCTTAGTAACACAGTAGGATGTTCATATGAAGCAAAAGAAAAACAATAAAGGCAACAATAAAAAAGGTGACAAGTACGGTATAAAGTGACTTGGAAAAAAAATGAGCAAATCCCAAAGGATACTACAACACATACGATAAGACGACAAATTCCCTGTGAAAGAAAAACAACAACACACACATGGAAGAATAATTAGGCTATGTAATTTCCTGAAGGATTGCTCAACGATAGGAGGGGAAAAAGAAGGAGGAGAAGATACTGGTGAGAACCTCAGTCATCCTTGACATTCATAAACAGTAACAAGAACTTTTACAAGCCCGCAAGAATAAAGAAACACACAGTAGGAAAAAGACCCATTAGAACTAACAATGACACAAACTAACTTACTGGCAATTCCAAAGTTACAGAAGCTACCAAAGTGCTTTTAGTAAACAACCTTAAATAAGGAGTGAAAAACATGGGCAAAATGTTGTCAAAAAAGAATAATCAGATAGAGAGCAAGGAAGGAGTATGTGGGAGTTGCAGACTAACTGAGCAGCTTGACAGATGGCCCAGATGAAGGATCAAATTGTTCTCTCTGCGAGAACTGTTTCCTGTCTTCCAAAAATACTGAAATCTTTCTCCCCTCTCAGAGTCAGCCAGTGAATATATAAGCTCCCAATATTGACCAAGGCTTGTGCTTTGAGAACACAGACATTTTCATTTGCAGTCCACCCTGATGTTTGCTGCAGCTAGACATGTCGACCCCAGAAATACATGTGGAAATCAATACCCCTCAAGGCCCATCTGTGTCAAAACTGGTCAACATCGATAGACATCGGTGCCTACCAAGAGCAACACTGGCCTTACACCAAAATTTATGCATCTATGTCAGGAACACGAACTATCAGTACCCATCAATAGGGTTCAATACTGATCCATACTGCCCCCCGATAGTTATTATGCCCCTTTCCAACATATCACATCAGCCCCACAGCTACCTGGAGGACTTTACCTGCCAGCGGCCTCATGGTAGGCCAGCTCCAGCAGCTCAGCAGAAGAGTGTGTCAAATCCTGCTGCCCATTGCCCTGCATTTCTGCCATATTCTGGCGGGTTTGATGATGAATCTGGATAGCTTCTCCCGACGGACCTACCCAGTTACAATTGGATCATTAATCAAATCATCTGCCTTGGTTTTCTTAGTTCTCTGCATTTGCTTATAGCTTGCTTTCATCAACAGCATGAGCAATTGTAACTAGCAAAAATTAAGAAAATTTGCTTAGGAAATCTTCCAAGACATGAACCTCTGGCATCTTTTCAGAAGCCAGAGAAACACAATACGCTCCTGAGCAGTTTGGAAGGGCTATTTACAAAACATTAAACAAATGATTCAGCATGGAAGTCAAACCCAAACCACACTAATGCTGCAATTCCCCCACATCCATCTACTATAAGCTTGTTCCACAGTATCTGATATTCCAAGTTTACTAAAAGGTCATAATATTTCCAATAGGATTTTGGCTTTATCAAGCCTACACCTTCTTAGTTAAGCTAATATTATAGCGCAGAGTATTTCAAGATGCTGGAGTTCATGTTGTTTCTCTCGTTGTGCTGATGTTTGGACAAGAAAGAAGTCACTGCAATCTAACATGCTATGAAAAGAGCCTTACCCACAGGAAAAGTGTGCATCCAGCGCCTCCTGTTCGACGTAAGCTTCATGGGCATGCGGGACGGCGCAAAGGGGTTGATCAGGGCTCTCTGGGGTGTGTAACCACCAGGTCGAATGTGCAGCATGGATTCTGCACTGCCCACATGGAACCTCCCTGGGGCACTGGAGTCCCGTTGCTGAGACTCCAGCATGTTCTCAAGGACATCTGGAAAACACAATGTAAAGTTAGTGTGAGATCAGGCAGAAGTGCCATACAGCAAGGAAAAAGAAAAAAAGGCATAAACAGTCTTTGGAGATAGCAAACTAATTCTAAAGAATATTAAGCAATTGAAGGAGGAACATATTTTACCTAGAAACAAACAGGACTTGTGAAAGATATCACATGCTGCCTGAGAAAAAGATTAAATTAGAAGATAAAAAAGAGGGACTGTCACCACTACTAACACAACAAGATGTCTCAGCAGTGTGCTATCGAAAGGAAGGATCCAGAAAGTGACAGGTAATGACAATTACTTCTAAAAGAGAGAAGTTACAAGAAGGGTCCCCCCAGGGCTCACCACTAAGGCACATTTTCATTTCACCAATTTTAAGTGACCTGGATAATAAAAAGTTACCTGTACATGTTCACATTAGCAGAGAGGCACAGGAGTCAAATTTTAAAAATTGTAACAGAGAAGGGAAATGGGTAAATCAGTGTCAGGACACATTATTTAGGACAAGCTAGCAAAAAATACACAAAGAAAAATGCACACCCAGTCATAATTAGAGCTGTGAAAAAGCTACAGCGGGAATACTAATGCCAGCACCGTCTCCTCTGTGCTGGCCTGGCTGCGGTCAACATCAATTGCCATATTCTCTCTCCCCTCTCACCACCTAAGATTGCTTCCCATCCGCCTCAGGCTGACCTCTGGTGCTGGTATAGCCCAAAGAGCTGCTGACTTCATACTGGTGCAGGTGAGGCCGTGGGATCATCAGGATGTTGGAGATCTTGCCCAAGGAGCTGTCATCAGAAGCCTGGCTCCTCACCTCCTCTGGAGGCAGCGTGCGGCTCTGCAGAGAAGGGCTGCACGACACGTCATAGGAACTGGAGCTCTTCCGGGTACGACTTTCTCTCTCCCTCACAGACCTACTGAAAATAAAAAAAGACATGTCCAGTGATATGAAAGAGAGATTAATTAACTCCTGTATTATCTGGGGGCTCCACGGAATCACAGAATGGTTGAGGTTGGAAGGGATCTCTAGAGATCATCTAGTCCAACTCCCCCGCTCAAGCAGGGACACCCAGAGCACCTGGCACAGGGTCACAGCAGAACAGGTCCAACATATAAAAGACTCAATACTGGATAGCTGAGCTCAAGGAGGCTACCTAGAAGCTATCACCATGTTTTATGATAGAGGTACTGCATACTTTTGTACATTATCGTATATAAGGACACAGTAATAAAATGCTTTCAGCACAGTGCCTCCACAGCTGGAAAAACAGAGCTAGAGAGAAACTACAGTAACTCCAGTAGATTGTATTGGCATCTTTCAGTATAGATTTGCACAGGCTGCTCAGGTGAACAGGAGTCTACATGAACAGTTTCTTCAGAGTTAGACAATACCTCTGAAAGAAAGAAAGCCAAAGAATACTTTAACACAAGTTCATCTATCCCATAATACTGCTCTAGAATTAGTGCACTCATGAGCACCCTACCTGAAAGTGGTGCAGCGCTGTGCCCTAGACGGGCCTGGCAGTCTGAACACCTGGGCATCGTAACCATCATAATCTACCTGGATAGGCAGGGCATTCTCAGCATCTTTTGGAGCCCCTAAAGCTGAAATAAAACCATCAAACATTGGAACTCCTTTCAAGAATGTTGTTCAAGATCTGCAAGTTAGAAGCACCCAACTTTTACCACAGACAGTAGTAACTATTCCAAAAGAAACTGCATACAAAGTCTCATGAGCAGAAAAACTACAGCAGATGCATCGGCTCATAGTCTCTTAACGAGAGTTGCTGAGCCACTAATTATCTTCTCCCTGACAATCAGATATTAAATTCAGAATCCTTGTATGAATAGAGGCAAACATCTTAAAAAGGAACTTACACATTTGAAAGTATCTTTAAAAGAATGGACATAAAAGCACACACACCTTCCTGAAATGAGTTCATATTAGAAGAATGCAGATTTTTCCTTTTTTTTTGTGTGTGTGTGTGTGTGTGTGTGTGTACAACTATCTGACAACATCGCAGCAAGGCAGCCAATGTCCTCTTAATCTCACTCCTACAAGCAGTACTTCTTCAACATCAGCATGATACAATCTATTTTCTAGTCCAGTGACAAGCAGTCAGGACAGAATCTTTCCCCTCCCTTCATTTGCCAAGTCAATTCATCCACATTTATTAGCATCCTTGATAACAACTATCTGGTTTTGATGGTTTTCTGCAACAATTATCCTATCAATAGTGTTTTTGATCTAGTGTCATTATCTTACTAGAACTATTTATTATTTTGTGGGTCAAAGGGATAGGTCCTTCCAGAACAGGATTACTCACAGGCATCTCGGCTATTTTTTGCCTTCTCGACCAGTGGCTGGAGGATCCAACACAGGAAGTGTGAAGGGACAGACACCCACCAACAACAGACAGGAGAGGACAGAGGGGAGAAAAAGTCAGCGTGTTCTGTGCAAATAGCCCCCCCAGAGTGATCAAGCATCAGACTTGGTATCTAGTGGAGAAACACAGTTTATCCTGCTGACTGAACGAGGCAGCCAAACCACAGTTAAGCAACAGGAAATACTGACACTCATAATCCACTGTGTAAAACCAATACCTTCACTGACACCTTTCCTCCTTGCTAAAGAGTTCTCTGTTACAAATTCATCTCCAATTTTTATTTTGGCTAAAATATTTCTCATCTAGTTCCATCTTAGAAAAGACAGACATAGAAATGAGTCCCTCATTCACAATCCCCAAAATAAACTGTCTTTTATCACAGAAACTAGTTTCTACAGTTCAAATGCTAACATTGCTAGAAGGATTATGATGCCTGGCTGAGAAAAAATATTATCCGCTTAACTCATAAGAAGAAAAGATAATCAGAATATACCTACCTTTCTTCCTGCCAGCTTAATCCGTGGAGTGAAACTGTTACAAAGGAGCTGGCTTTTGGATGTGTAGAAACTGAAAAGAAAAAAAAAAATAAGGTTCTTCAGCTGCCGTCTAGGAAGTGAACACTGTAAGTAAGAAGGCTGGCCAGCCACTTCAAGCTAGCTTTTCGATGGAGAAAAGGAAAGAACTTTCTCGAGGAAGACATCATCTTTAAAAGATTCATAGATAAGGTTAAGATGAGAGAAGCTACTCTTCTTCCTAAACTCCAAGTCTTTGATTTCCTTACACTCTGTCTAGACTTCTTAACCTGATAACTTTTGCATTCCCCATTCTACAAAAGTGTTCCTGTTTCTGCAAGGCTGTTGTGTATCTGCCAATGTTTCACAAGCAGAGCAGAAGAAATAAACAGCAAAACAAAAAAGAGAGAATTCAACATATCTATAGAGAAAAGCACGTCACAGCACAACAGATAAGCAGAATTTCCTCGCAAACCTTAGGTTCACCTACCTATGGTTTATCCAGTGTGGGATATTGTAGTCATCACCCAACCTAGAGTCTCCTGGTCCACAGCGATTGTGAAGCTGGAAGAGAAATTCAGAAATGTAGAAATTAGTTACATCAAGCTGGTAACAAAGTGAGTAACATGTGCACTGGAAACAGAAGGGAAAAGAAGCTTCAATCACCTTAAAGAGTGGAACAGCGTGTAGTGGTTGTTCTCCCATGCATACTAAGTCCACACCAATCCCTATGAACAAGGAACAAAAGAGTTCAGCTATACAACAAGCAGGACTAACATGCTATAAGACAAAACAAAGATTCTGAATTGTCACTAAGCCTCACATTGTGCTTATAACTGCATCTTAGAAGTCTCATAAGAAAAATACTAGTTAGGAAGCCCATGATATAAATGCAAACTGATAGCATCAGTGGAGATATAGGAAGCATTTCTTCTAAATTAATATAAATGACACAAAATTATCCTTCAAGGCAAAGGTCTGACATGACTGATTAAGTTCTCAGCTATCTTGACATTAACTACTTTTCAGTTCTCTAAAAGTTTGGCCATTTCTATACAAAGCTTGGAGACAAGTTTTCCCATACACCTCTTTATATTCTTACACCTCTTTCCAGAGTCACATGTTACTATAGTTATTTTTCCAGGCCAAAGGAAGAGATGCTTTTCCAAGATTTACTTGTTGGCATTTACAAAATTGCCCAGAATTGCAAGGTATTTACCATTGTCTATCATCCGCTGCTTGGTTAGAATCATAAGGAGCCGATCTACCTCAAACACCCCCACGCCAGGCGTGATAACCACAGACATCTGGCCAGTCCGATCGAAGTTCCGGTTGATGTAATGCTTGTCAAACACTAGGAAGAAGAGGCAGAGAACACACACTGTTTAAAAGAAGAGCAGAACGGATGCTTTCAGAGAGCAGGATCACATGATATTAAGCAGGATTCCTCATGGGAAGACTTGGATGAAGCCTTGTCCAATGCATTAGTGCCAATAAAGCTACAGGAAAGAGAACACCCAGAGCAAAGGAGATAAAGATGGAAAGCAGATGTATGCACATAGGAATATTTTTCTTATATGCTTAGTGCTTCCTTTATTACACCTTAAAAAATAATTCCTTAACCTGATTAATAATCAGACTAATCATAATCAACATGATGTTCTTTCTCTCACAGTAATTAACAGTCATTAAGGTGAAAAGTATCTGCTGTAAAGAATTACAAAAAAAAAAAGACAGAAAAAAAAATCTCACTAACAAGGCTCTGTAAATGTCTCCTGAAGACTGAACTATTCAATATTCAGTTATGCGAGGTTGATAGCCAGTTGTTCCAGAGACAGAAACAGAACACCTATTCCTAAAGGCAGAAAATAACAAATTTAAGCACTTAATATTTCTCCTTCTCTTCCCAGTGTTAAGCACCAGGCAGCAGAAATCCACACCCATTTACTGACAGCTGCTGTAATGGTTCCTTCTCTGTATGTTTTTATCCGCTGTTCACAACTTACCATTGAATGAAAGATTTATGGCCTCCAGGTAGTTCCCTTGTGCTGAGGTAGAATTGTAACCTGGTGGAAAGCCCTCTGAGCAAGTGTTGCAAGGGTGGCGAAAAAAAAAAAAAGATAAAAAGGGAGGAGAAAGAGAGAGAGAAGTTACCTCCATAAAATCAATATGTTAAAACAAATTGTTTTGGTAGTACAATCTATAAACAAAATTGCTATTTGTTTGCTCTCAGAAAGATATAAGCAGAGCAGCTTCTTCAAGAAAGCACTGTTAAGTACTGCAAATACCAGACTCCAGCTGAGACTACAGAATTTAGAGGTAACTTTCAAATAAAAGGGTAAAAGCAGGAGGGAGGAAGCTTCTCATACCTGCTTGCTCCAGTCGGACTAGCACAGGATACTGGATAAAAAGTTTTTTAATGGTCACAAGCAAGGAGGTCCATTCTTCTCGTCTCTCATTCTGAACCACAACTCTGGAGAGAGCACAAATTAATTAGGATTGTAAAAAGGAAGCTATGATAAGGAAGTGAGAACAGATGAACAACCTATAGCTACAAAAAAAAAAAAACATGCGGAAAAGAAGATAAGTTCAACTTCCCTCTGCTAGGCAGTGCTTTAGAACTGCTGCATATTTGTATCAACCACTAAAGATGCAAACACAAAGCTGGGTACATCGCCAGCCCTGTGTAGTTTCATCTCTTGCTTCTGACAGCTTTTATACTAAAGCCTGTTCCAAAAAGAATCCTAGTAAAACAGACAATCAGTTTTATACATCAAACACATCACTGTTCCGCAGTGATGTGGGACTCTGAACAAGCCCAAGTTCAGGGCGAGCCAGCATCTTCAATAGCTGCATCTGCTGTGACCATCAGCCTAGAAGCTCTAGTACCTAACTGGAAACACTTCCAGTTTCAGCAGTGGCACCATCTGTTCTTCAGCTTTACAAAAGTAGAGAGTCAAAAGGTAACCAAGTCTTAAGCAAAAACTACTGCAAATACTACAGAACTTTTAAGTTTATTGGCAACTAATATACTCGCCTACAAGTGAAAGAATAATATAGCAGCTATCAACAGGTTTGCACTTTCTAAATGGATGGGAAATATTCATCACTTTGCTGCCATTTTCGGACATAAGGTACTGGAGTTAATAACTGGATATTCAAAATGTGAGTTGCAAATATGCTGTGAGACAAGAGGTGAAAGAACCCTTAGGAAGACATACTTGTAAAAATCTTCATAAAATCTTCCCTCGTGGTCCTGGCGAATTGACGCACGATGTGTTTCTGGAAACTCATCTGAAATGGAACAAAAACAAGTATTATTCTGTTCTGGTAAAGAAAAAATTCCTTGCAAGGAACATTTATTTACATTCATTCATATTTACATTCATTCATATTTACATTCACACATTCAACATTAGAAAAATTTGAGTATGAGATGGAAAATTTGCCATATACTCTTCCACATAAGGTTTTCACTGCAGTATTTTCTTAAGAATGGCCATTGTGTTTAACATGGAATAGTATGGATGGGGACTTAATAAACTGAGGGGGAAACAGCTTTTGAAAGCTATTAGAGAAATACTTGATTGAAGAGATTACTAAAGGGTAGTTTTCTCTCTAGAGTAAACGGTAATGTTTTTCACTTTTCCTTGACATCTCTACAGAAGAAAAAGAATCTAGAGGAACCATAAAAACAGAGTCAGCTTTTGCATCACTGAACACACTAGTCATGGAATTCAAAACTCCCTCATGAGCAATATTCCTTTTGTGTTCTATAACTTATGAACTCCAAAGTACACTATCCATTACAAGAATGACCCTTCTTCATTTGCAAAAATTCACTGCCAGCCCATGACCAACATGAAAGAGGAGACAGTGTTGTGAAAATACAGGATTTACTTACCTATTGTTTTTGCTTCATAAAATGTTCTAGAAAACAGAACCACTGTCACTTCATGGCTACAATTCTTCTCCTTTACAAGAAGGATAGAAGGAAAAGAAGTGGGGTCACACAACAGAAAACTACAAGTGTACACACATGTATATAAATAGAGACATATATAATAGCAGCATCTCTCCCTCAACCAAGGCAATTAGAAACAAAATTGACTGCTACATATCTGCATCACTGCTGCACAGGGTTTTGATACACATAATGCTCTGACCTGAATCTTCTTCTGCCAAGCTATATAGCATTTAACAGCAGCACTCTCTACTAGCTTCTAAAGAGATTCTTAATTGTTGCTGCCTGGATACAATATTTTTGTAATAAGAGAGAGCTGTCTCAATTTGTTTGATTACATAAACATACACTCTCATGACAATATTGATATTCTTATTTGTGAATGTTGAAAGAGATGGCCTGAACAACTTCAGAGAAAAAGGTAAAACTTCTCGTGCTAGTGCACTCTTGCACAACTATATGATACAGCAGGTGACATGAGCCCAGTCAGACCCCTGCACACGAATGAATTAATTGCATGATTCACACACCATAAATGCAAGCTGCGTGTGCCAAGTAGTTGCTATACTTATCTGCAGACCTGCTGTAATCAGCCTTCTGATGCTGAGTCCTGTAAACACTAGCACGGATTGACCAAACCTGGGTCTTTCTTCCTCAAAATAGCAGATCAAATGGCTCAGTATTTAAGATGACCCTGACCTCCTCTTTCAGGACAAGATGAGTTCAAGCAGCTATTTACCTTCCATTTGGTGAAGAGGTCAGCAAGGAAACCGTTCACAGCTTTCTCAAAATACAGGTCCCCTGCAAAGGAAAAACATCGCCAAGGCATCAAACAGCAGCAGTTACTTCAACCATACGCTTCTGGAACCAAGTAAATTTAACCCAAAGATTCTAGGTTTTTTTGCCTTTTGTTTTATTTTGGTTTTGTTTTTTAAGAATCAGAGCCAAATGATTTGCTATGTCTGTGTGCACACTGAATATTAGCATTTCTAAAGCAAAGATGATAATAAAAGAAGGTAATAAAACAAGATCAAGTTTCAGAGAATGTAAACAAGACAACTACTGTATGGTCTGAAGGATCTGACCTTTAAATTCATTATTACAAGATATTGGCAACATGCTGGGAAAGCATCTGTACTATCTTTTAGAGATACTGGGCACAACTGATCCCCTGCTCAGTTTTGAATGGTTGCCCAGTTACATATGCCTAAACACATGGTCAAAGGAAGCGGTAAGGAAATTATTAAAGAATTAATACAAAAATAGGACAATGACACAGATAAGTCACTGAATTCTTAACTGCTAAAATTTTAACAATTTTAAGAGAACTCTACCATGGCTAACATAGGGGTTTTGGTCCCTGGCTAAGCCAAAGTCCAGAGAGGTGTAAAACATCAAAAACCTCTTTGCACAGGGCTCCCATACATTTCTAGTTTCAAGGCTCACCCAGGCTTGCACCTGTCCTCATCACCCAATATGGACGTATCCACAGAAAAACCTTTTTCAAGGCTCATGCTCATTTGTCCCTTTATATTATTCACTGAGATAACAGGACCCAAGCCCTACAGTAAGGGAAGAAAATTACAGAAGACACAGGAGAGGTATAGGCCTGGCCCTGCAAGGAAAATTCCACAGCAGGACCACAGTGCTGGTCACAGAGCAATGCCTTGGTCAAAGGTGGGAAATTTTACCGTTCTGACAGTGACAAAAACGCTCACTGCCATCTGCATTCACAATCAGGCAGCAAGGTAGTTACCTACATACCATAGATATCAAAATCCCACATTTCACAGCTCATCTGGATAAAGATATAAACCATGGCCGAAGTGGAGCGGAAGACCACCTGCAGAACAGCAAAAGACCTTTATTAAAACAAGGTATATTCAATGAAAGCATCAGAAGCACACTAATTAGAAGAAACTGCTTAGATGCCAAGCAGTGGCTTCCCTCACAGTCTTCAGCTTAAAGAACAGTTTAAAGGACAATACTTCTGGCAGAACTACAAAATAAAGCAGTCCCTGGTCCTGCCCCATCAATTCCTAAGCAATCAGTCTCAACTTCTGAGGCCTCCTGCATTTTGTCAAGACAAAGACTTAGACAAGGATATGAATCAGGACACTGATCAAGCCGAAAAGTACGTCAGTAAAAAGGATTTCCCAGACCCCGCAACAGATCAGTTCTTTGGTCTACAGTTCACTACACAGTGGTACTAACACTACTGCAAGCCTACCATAAGGGAAGAAGGAAAGAGATGGAACAAACTGATCAATCCTTTTTGTGACAGAATGTGTTACCGCTGCCAAAAGCAGAAGTCAGCTAGAGAGCAATTTATATGATTGCATCATGGGCACTTCCTCTCTGAAGAGTTTGCATTTCAATTGCCAAAGTAATTCCTAGGGCTGGCAGTGCAGAATAGATAAACTGCTTTAATCACTCATCTTGTATTTGTTATCATTCTTTACCTTACAATACAGACAATTCAAATGATTCACACAAATCTGCAAACAAGAGGGAATTATACGAAGACTGACAAGGAAAGGAAGGGAAAAGTTTCCCTCACTAACTCAAGATCTTACCCGGGTGTCCTCACTGATGTAGCCACAAGTGACTTTCTCACTCTTAACCCACAGTTCACCTGCTTGCGCCCTGGAAGAGCAAAAGGACAAATTATTTACCAACTACAGTGAACATGAAGATTAGAAAAACGGTCTTCAAGAAATTAACGAGGTGCCAAACTCTGCATTCAAGGGTGATTTGAAGAGAGTTATAAACGCATTTGAATAAAAAGTTATCTCTAATCTAGAAAGCTGTTTCCTGCCACACCTGCATGGCTCCTTGACCTTGTGCCATCTCAGGGAGGGCAGAATACTCTTAACAGGTGAAAGGCAAATTACTTAGCATTCACAGAGGCAGTGAGTGTGGTTGCTATCAACCTATCATTGTTTCTTTTCCTTCAGGTCAGATAAAACTCTTCCTCTACATCACACTACAGACAGAAGTCTGTGAAAAAGTAAGCGAAGGAAAATATGTGGAGGATTTTTCAGAGAAGATTCTCACACCGAATACTTATGAATACTATGAGTCTGAAGTCAGTCATGGAAGTCATAAGTATCAGAGGAATAAACATCAGTAGATAACGTACAATATATATTATTATATAATAATACATAATATATTATATAATAATATAGTACATATTATTCCCCCTTACAGTTGGAAATGCTAAAAATGTACATGTTTAGAGCATTCCTGTTTATAGCTGTCTGTAAAATCAGGGATTCCTACATTCTCCTGAATTTTTCCTACAATTGGGCAATAAATCAGAAATTAAGCACTCACCTGATACCTGCAAATTCAACTTTTTGGGTGACATAAGCACATGTGCTAACCTAAGAAAGATGAATTTCAGGTGTTAAAAAGTTAAATAGACTGATCTACACACACACAAAAGAAGGTAACTTAACCTAAAAAATTACAAACAGTTGCTTAGTAAATGATGCCATCACAGAGTAGATACTTCAATGCATTTCTAGTTGAAAAACATTTTGATTCAATTCCCTTCAAAGGTAATGAATTACCAAAACTCAGAACATCAGGAAAATCCCACAGTGATTTCAATATCCAAGAGACTAATGAACATTATTGCCAGAGAGCATGAAACGACAGGGCCATAACTCTTTCTATAACATAACTACATGCATTTCTCCCACTCTGACATCCCACTTGGCACAGCAAATAACTGTTGATACTGGTTTTCTTCATCCTGAAAAAAACAGTTTGTTTTTTCAGCAAGCAAGGGAAAAGGTAAATCTCCTGTGCTCTACACAGTATGGTAAGCAGAGGACCTACCAAACTTTTCTTTAGTCGCCACATATCCCCACGCCCAATGTACTGGTCTTTAAAAGTCAGCTCCACCAGGTCCAAGGTCACCTCCTGGGAAACAGAAAGAAGCTCAGATTCTTCTCGTCGTTTCCTACACAGCACCCTTCAGGTATTCTGAAGCAAGTCAGTAACCCCAACAGATGGGAGACAAAAAGGAAATTCCACGATAAGAGCTGCCAGCATTGCACACATACCTGCAACTACTGTGACCTGCAGAATGTTGCATAATGTGGCCAGAAAAAACCTCATGACTACAGGCTATGAGTCCCAGTGTTGACTAGAACCACAAGTAAAACAAATGGCTTCCACTGCTCATGAAGCTAAGGAAGACTCTTTTCCTGTGGATTTTTGTCTTGTACTGAATGCATACTTTGAATTAAGCTCTTCTAATAGTTGGGACATTCATACAAGATACTTCTTGTAAAGGCCTTCAGGTATCTAACGGTGGGAATTCATATTACGACTTTTCATTTAACTGGGACAGTTACCCTGTCTCTTCCTTCTGCATGATTATCCTGAAACTTTGGGAATCTGATTATCTTTGAGATTTCTACATCTCTGTCAAGCTATGTTAAAGCTAGCTTATAGAGTTCAAAGGGAGAGAGGAGGCAATGAAGACAGAATCAAAAAACATATGACAAAAACACTGCAATTGTCCAAGGCTCATTTGCTTGTGAAAGGAGACTAAAAAACTTTAAATAACAATAAAAAGCCCTTTATTCCAACATTAGGGGATTCAAAGGGCTCCAAACTAGCTAAGGCAAGGAGCAGACAAAAACAAAGTTACAGTCACACACCTTTGGGTCAACAACATTCACATGGACATCCTGATACGGCCTCAGGCGGAAGACCTGTGCAACAGTCTGATCCACACTTATTGTTTCTGCCACAGAAGGAAAAAAAGGACAACAGAGAAGTGAACATCCCCAGAATGTTTCCAAGGGGCTTAAAATAAAAAATTCATTGCAGTGGAATTCTCATGAAACTTTGGAACTTAGCTAAAGAAAAAAGCCTCTCGGCTATTATTTAATTAAAGATTTGTTAAAAATAAAAGCAGAGGAGATAAAGTTTAGGCTGAATTAATTCCTGCAAGAAGAGAAGACGTACAGCCAGTCAGAGAGAGCAGGAAGAAAGCTAAGGCTAAAAAGCCAACAATTTTGTTTAAACATTACTAGCCAAAAGCTGATTTTAAAAATGGATATTCATTTCCTGATAAAATAGTAATCTTTCCATTCCTAAACAGACAAAGCATTGATTTTCTTACAAGGTTAAAATATAATTCCTTAAGGTTAAAATATACCATATTACTCAACAACTGCTACAATAACTGCTACAGTCCAAACACATAATCTTTGTCTACAATCTGTGCATATTGCATAATATGACTATGCATATGGCAAGTCTGGAGTCTCACCTTTCTGCAAATCTTCCTTAAGTGACTTCACCTGTAGAAGCAGGGGGCTAGGACACAAAAGAAAAAAAAAAAAAAAGGCAGAAAAGTTGAAACACCAATCTACTCTAATGAAATCATTCTCTCAAAGCAATTTAGCAACACTGAGCACGGGATAAACTAAGCATTTGCCATACCATATTAACAAATATTTACATTAATGTTTTCTGAAATCATACATCATTCTCACTCCCTGCTCCCCCTTTGTCATTCCCCACAAACTTTCAGGTAAGACCTCTGCCATAGTTATCCTCAGGCTCTTTCAGCTCTCCAGCCACACTTGGCTGATAACAGCACGAAGAATTCACCTGTATTCATCATTGGGATGTGCAATTTCCACAACATCTCCCAGCTTGATTTGAAGAAAAACTTTAGGATTTACCACCAGTTCATCATCTACAGGACAAAAAAAAAAAAAAAAAAAGAAATATGGAAACCTGCAACGGATAAAAACGTATCAAACACAGAAACTTGCATTTTTGCATGCATAAGCCTCCTCAATATTAGTGTACTAGTTCAAGATTAATACATTAACAATACAGTATATTCACTGTATTATAGTGCCCCTATCCAGCCACTTCAGTCTGGCCAATCTTGTAGAAAAAACTTTTCTTTCAAGTCACAGAACATTCACATCAGATTTGTTCAACAAAAGAGCCTGCTTTACAAGCAAAATCTTCTATTTCGCACTCAACGAACACTGGCAGAAAACCAGATAGCTGTAAAATCTTATTAGCAAAACCTTGTTAACATGCTATGATTCTGCTTTACAAGCAAAACCTTCTATTTCCCACTCAACGAACACTGGCAGAAAAGCAGATAGCTGTAAAATCTTACTAGCAAAACCTTGTTAACATGCTATGATTTGGAGGCCAGGAGTAGAAAGCAAACAAAGAAATGTTCTTAGTAGCCAGAAACCCTGTGTGCATCCACAGGCAGTGATAACAAGTCATGGGTGATGCTGTCATCATTATTAAGAATGACTGAAATATACCATAAGAAGAAGCAGATGAAAAGTGACAAAACAGCAGCAGAAGAGGCAGAATCCAGCATTTAATTTTACAGATACAATCTCATTTCATTCCGAAAAATTAACACAACTTCGTTCTGCTTTATCTTGCTATTGTGTGGAAAAGAGCTTTCCACACACTGGCTGCTAATACTGGTCATTGAGTTAAAGTTCCACCCTGCTTGTTTGGCTAAAAAGATCAATAAAAGATTTAAAATAAGAAACAGCGTGTTGATCCACTGTTGTGAGCCAGAAGATACTGACCACTGCTTCCAAACCCCTTCTTATGTATGACGAGCTTGTACACCTTGTTGGTTCTCATCTTGAATTCCAGGTTGCCTCTGGGTCCCCCACCACCTTGGGTGGGGACCAGCAACACCAAAGCGCTTCTCAACTCAGCTGCTTGGAGTCAAAAGAGCAGATGACATCTCGCCCACCTAACAGGGAAATTAAAAAGAGAACAAAAATACGGGCTCAGGGGATGAGCCTACTGCTATGAAAGAAGCACATTTTCCCAAGGAAGCCTTTTAGAGGGAGCCGGGGCGCTCCGTGCTGGCTGACATGGAGAAGGAAGCTCCGGCTGCCAGGGGGTCTTGCTCAGCCATCAGCGGTGCATCCAAGGGCTGGCACAGGGCAGAGGGAGAGCTGGATAAAGGTTCCTGCTCTAGCAGCACAGCTCATATCTCTCTCCAGAATGCTATCTTTTACATTTCAAGGATGCATTTCTGAACGTAACATTTTTATGACATAAGTCCAACACGCAAACACCCCCAGCTAAAAGCTCCTCTGCTTCTGTCAGCTGGGACGCTGCCACCGAGGGACACCATCACCCCCCGCGGGTGATGCTTCCGCACCAGAGCGGCACAGGCTCAGCCGGCAGAGGGCACCGGGATGTATCCGCAGCGCCAGGAACAGCAAGGTCGGTGCTGAACACCGCCTCGCACCGAGTACTTTTCATTGCACGATCCATTTCTCCTCCTGCCGGCTGTAAAGCAGCGAGACGCTATCTACGGAGCGGCGCCCAGTTTACCACTGACT